ATACCTGGGTGGTCTGAACAAATTCAGGCTAAAAATTCAATGCTGTCCCAGGCAGATTAACTGAATGAAAACTCTCTCTTCAACTGAGCCTAAAGTTCCAAGAAACATGTAAAAAAATTTATAAGTGCACTGAAAAAAAAGACTCTGCAAGTGAGGACCATCAACACAAATTGGGGAAGACAGGTTGAACTTTTCAGACATGTTATCGAAAACAGTGAGAAGGTTGGCTATTAGGAGGAAAAAGGACAAGCCTAGAAGCAATGATCAAGCGGCAGGTAGGAAAGTATGCCATAAAAATTAAAAAAAAAAAAAAAATATATATATATATATACATAAACTTGACAGCAACTCAAAAGCAGATTAATGACAGCTGCAGAGAGAAGAATATAATTTGTGCACACAGCTAAAGCAGTACTAAGAGAAAACGGACAGCTTTATATGTTGTATTACAAAATAAAATGTTGAAAATAAATGCTAGGCGTTACACTTAGGACATTAGAAAAAGAGAAAAAAATGATCATTACAGAGAAAGAACACAAGTGTCTTGGAAGACGCCAAATACCTGGAAATATGTTCAGGACTGAAAAAATGAATACTAGAAAGAGATCAAGTTTCTCCATTTACTGTATGGAGATGAGTACAACTGCAATCAAAACCCTGACAGGGTTTCAGAGCTTTTTGTTTGTTTGTTTTTAAGAACTTGAACAACGGAGTCTAAAATTTAAATGGAATTGCGAAAGGCCGAGAATTATTAAGATGGACAAAGCAGAGTCTTATTTTGCCAACACTGGGAGTTGTTAAAAGGTATTAAAATGTATCAAAATCGAGACCATAGTACTGGGACAGACAAGCAGGCCTGTGGACAGGAACAGAGTCCGGGAAGAAATCTGCACCCAGAAGACACTTGATTGATGACAGAGACTCAGAGCCTGGGAGAAAGGACATGGACGCTGGGACGATTGTGACAGGTCTGTACCCACGTGGAGAAGAAGGAGCAGACCCCCACCTCACACCATACCCCTGGAGACGTTCCTGGGGGAATACAGACCTGTGTGTGAAAAGCAAAACCTCAAAGGATTTAAAGCAAACAAGGGACCATGTAAGACACACAAATGGCTGACAGGATATGAAAAAGCGCTCAGCATCACTAATCACTGGGGAAATGCAAACCAAAACCACGAATGAGACAGTGCCCCATTCCTGTTAGGAAGACTGTGGTATCAAGGGAAACTGCTAGGGGAGGGACGGGGGGTGGGGAGCACACCTCATCAATAAAAGGACCTGATCTCAAACCAGGTGAAGTGGGAACCAAAGGGGGGCCCAAACTTTACCTGTACACTGCCCACTTGTATACCTGACCCTGAATTGCACCCCACATCTTTAAAATAGAAAGTAAATAAATAATGGAAACAACGAACAAAAGCTAACACACGTCGCCAAGGACGTGGAGGACCCGAAACCTTTGAACACAGTCGGTGGGAATGCACAGTGGCACAGCTGCTTCTGGAAAACAGTATGGAGGGCTCTCAGAAATTTAAAGACAGAACCACCCTGGGATCCAACAATACCACTTTTGGGACTTATCTGAAAGAACTGAAGTCAGGGTCTGGAGGAGATGGCGCACACCTGTGCTCGTGGGGGCCCTATTCACGATAGCCAGGATGCGGGAACAACAAAAACGTTTGCAGACAGATGAAAGAAAGTGTGACATACACATGCAACGGGTTGCTTCAGATGCAGAAAGGTGGTCCTGTCATATGTGGCAACATGGATGAACCCAGGGACCGGGGACACTTTGCTAAGTGAAATAAGCCAGACACAGCAAAACAAATACGATTTACATTCATTTACATGCAGCATCTAAAATAGTTAAATTCAGGCTGGGTGAGGTGACTCATGCCTGCAATCCCAGCACTTTGGGAAGCTGAGGAGGGAGGATCGCTCGAGGCCAGGAGTTCAAGACCAGCCTGGGCAACATAGTGAGACCTCGTCTCTACAAATAATAAAAAAATTAGCCAGGCATGGTGGCGCAAACCTATAGAGTCCCAGCTACTCAGGAGGCTGGGGTGGGAGGATTACCTGAGTCCTGGGGGTCGAGGCTTTGGTGAGCCGTGATTGTGCCACTGCGTTCCTGCCTGAGTGACAGAGTGAGACCCCCCGACTCAAACTTAAGTTCATAGAATCAAAGGGTGGAACGGTGAAAGTCAGGGACTGAGGCAGGGGGTAATGGGGACTTACTAAAGTGGAAATAAAGTTTCAACCATGCAAGGTGAATAAGCTCAGAGACCTGCTGTCCACAATGATGTGCCGCACATTTACGTGTCAAGAGGGTCGAGCTCAGGTTATGTGTCCTCACCAACATAAAACAATAAGATAACATAAAACAAAATAAATATAGATAATTATTTTCATTACCTCAGGTCGCAGAAGGATTTCTTAAAGGAGACATAAAGTAAAATAACCAAGAAGGAAAAGACTGACACATTCAACCACTTTAAAAATAAAATCCTCTGTTTAGCAAAAGACTTAATAAGCACATAAAAAGAAAAAACCATGAAGCAGAGGATGTTTGCAAAACCTTTACCCAGTAAAAGCCCACAAAGACCCCTTACCAACCAAATAAGAACGAAAAGCCAAACTAAACCAAACCAAAAGAGCCCAGAAAACTCTGTGGAATTCAGGACCAGAGACTTGATGGTAATTTTGCGAAGGCTGTACCCAACCACACAAACACACGCTTATCCACGCTGGCCTTGTCGCTGACTTTCAGTATTCTGACATCCAGGGCCTTGCTGACCGGGAGGGAAACCCCTTCCAGGGTTAGCCAGTTCCTTCAGAGAGTCAATAACTTGTCCACACACAACAGGCTCTTCAAACACAAACCCTCCAACTGGAGCCACCACGCACCAGCTCCCGCGGGCCGACTCAGGACAGCCCCACCGCTCACAGCCTGCTGGAATCATTCCAGCTAGCCAACCCTAAACCTGCACACCCTGCCTCCCCTGTCCTTCCTGAGGAAACCACAGTAAGGTCCTCACCCCTCCTCTGCCTTGGGACAGACCCCAGGGCCTCCCCGCAGGGCCTCCCGGGGCGAGGCGGTTCCCCTTCTCTGGGAACTGTGAGTAACAAACAGTCGTCCAACAGCAGTTGATCCCTGTTTCCCTGTTGGCCTCACAAAACCTCATGTTTTAGAGCAGCGTCTTCATGAGGAATCATAGAAGTGCAAATTGAAATCATCCCCAGATACCACTGCACGTCGACAGTACTAGCCAAGATGAAAACAGTTGATAAAACCAAGTGCTGATGAATGGGCATGAAGTGCATAATATTGCAACAATTTAAAAAAATAGTCGGGCAGTACCCAGTCAGGCTGAAGGCATGATTACCCCCGGGCACACATCCTAGAGAAACGCCTGTTCATTTGCAGGGGGAGACATGTTCACAATGGTCATCAAGTGCATAGCTGCACCGTTCTTCGTGGCAAAAAATAGACAGTATCTTATATATTCATCGAGAATGGAGTAGGTCTACACCATGGGATGTCACACAGTGACAAAATCACCGCTTATAATAGCATGCAACTGTGTGCATTAGACTCAGGAACATAATATCGAGTAGGGAAAAAAACTCACGATAAACATATACAGTATGATTCCATATGTAGGAAGTTCAAGAAAACAGAAAAAAGGTTGGGCGTGGAGGCTCATGCCTGTAATCTCAGCAGTTTAGGAGCCTAAGGCAGGAGGATCACTTGAGGTCATGAATTTGAGACCAGCCTGGGCAACACAGTGAGACCCCATCTCTAAAAAAATTAAAAAATGATCCAGGTGTGGTGGCATGTGCCTGTAGTCCCAGTTCCCAGTTACTCAGGAGTTTGAGGTGGGAGGATCTTTTGAGCCCGGGAGTTTGAGGCTGCAACGAGATAACATTGCACACCACTGTACTCCAGCTTCAGCAACAGAGCGAGACCCTATCTATTTAAAAAAAAGACAGAAAGAAAAGAAAAAGAACAAAGAAACAATAAACTGTTTAAATACATGAGCTTACAGTGGTTTCTCTGAGGGGAAAGAAGAGCAATTGGGTCAGGGAGGTGCAAAGGCAAAGATGTCTTATTCTTGAACTTGGTGGTGGTAAGGCGGTTTTCATTGTATATATATATTTAGAGCCAGAGTCTTACTCTTTTGTCCAGGTTGGAGTGCAGTGGCATGCTCACAACTACTGCAGCCTTGACCTGCTGAGCTCAGGCAATCCTTCTGTCATGCCTGTAATCCCAAGTAGCTGGAACCACAGGTGTGCACCACCATGCCCGGCTATTTACTATAGTGACGAGGTCTCCCCAAGTTGCCCAGGTTGGTCTTGAACCCCTGGGCTAAGGCAATCCTCCCACCTCAGCCTCCTTAAGTGCTGGAATTACAGGCATGAGCCGCTGTGCCCAGCTCATTTTAATATTATTTTTTAAATATTACAAATATCTTATCAATATTCTGTTGCTATTGAACTTTTTACTGTATTTATCTATTTTATTTTATTTTTTGGAGTTGGAGTCTCACTCTGTTGCCCAGGCTGGAATGCAGTGGCATGCTCACGGCCACCCCAGGGTCAACCTGCTGGGCTCTGGCGAGCCTTCCACTGCAGCCTTCCAAGGAGCCGTAACTACAGGCATATGCTACCACGCCTGGCTAATTTTTTTTTAATTTATTGTAGAGACGAAATCTCACCATGTTGCCCAGGCTGGTCTCGAACCCACAGGCTCAGGCAATCCTCTCGTCTCAGCCCCCCAAAGTGCTACTGCGCCCGGCCTGAACTTCTTATTTTTTTAAGAGATGAGACCTTGCTCTGTTGCCCAGACTGGTCTCGAACTCCTGGGCTCAGGCAATCCTCCCGCCTTGGCCTCCCAAAGTGCTGGGATCACAGGCATGAGCCATTGCGTCCAACCTTGTTCTGGTCATTTACGATGAGGATATCAGGACTGGTCTGCTAAGGCACCCGGTGGGGCATACCGTCTTCGCTGGTGTGGGGCTCTGTGCCAGCATCCTGGTCCACTTCCTCCAGCGTCCCGTGCTCGCTGTACGGGCTGTCACTGCAGGACGGAGACAGAAATCACATGAAGTCAAAACAAGGGAACTTAAACAATGAACAGGTGCGGTTGGAAGGAAAGACCTAAGACTTTGGAATGGAGGAAGAGATGCTGGACCATTCATCCAAGGAGTGCCGGGGTCTCATTGGTTCCCGGACCTATGGGGGTATGCATATACACAAGGTGCCAAAAAAAGTCTACACATTTTAAGCGATGTTATCTATGCATTACTTTTCGAAGTTGAATTGAATGACGGCAGCCATGAGTCGTATGACGTTCGTTCAAATGATGGCATTAATTAAATGAACGTTAGTGTCACCATGCGACAGGCAGGACGGTCAGAGAAAATGGCAGAAGCACGGTTGTCATTCGAGGAGCATGAGACCATGTTGAAGTGGTCTTTGAACTTCGAGAATGCTGTGGAAGGGCAACGACAATGGAGGCGTGAGTGTGCACAGAGCCTCCAACACGCCTGACCACCGCACGCATTTGCGATGAGTTTGAGATGCATGGTGCTGTGTGTGACGTGCGCAAGGGAAGACCCGGGAGGTCGTGCACAGCCACAAGCCCTGCAGTCGTTGGTTGTCATCAGAAGCGTCTGGACGTTGATGGGAGCACCTCTTGTAACTGCAGACGTCAAATGTGGCTTGTATTCATCTTTTGTTGTTGGTATATATTGACTACATTTTTAATAACTTTTTGCCTTTCTTAAAGTGTATATACATTTTTTGGCACCCCTGCATACACATGCATCCATCTTTGACTAGGTTATTTTACAACTCTGTAAAGACAGAGGTTAACCTGTAGAGAGCTGATAGCGTGATAAATCATTCCTACCCATAAAAATACAAATTAGTTGAATTCTGGTAGAATATGACCGGTGGCTGCCCTGTGGGAAAACCAGTTTTTGCAAATTCCTTTTGCTCTTCCTGTACTACATGGACATTGATGTCTCTTCAACTTCTCCTTTGAACTGGAGGTAGGATCTTTCGCTTTTCTTTCTTTCTTTCTTTTTGGATGTAGCACCTTTACTATCTTGCTTTTACTATCTCTTCTGGGCACATGTTCACCTTCCATCCGCACAAGAACATGATTTTCATCTCTTTTAAAGCTTTATCCGTAACACGACCACTCCCTCTCCTCCAATGCGTGCTGACCAAAGAAATGCACTGGTCACAAATACCAACCTGAATTCACCCTAAAAGCCCATTGATATTTCCGGTGATGGGGACAACCACACAGGTGGCTTTCTTCTTAAATTGATCAATCCTTCTAGAGAACACCATGTTCAAGAAGACAGAGTTAAGCATGTGTTCCTGAAGCCAAGACGAACACAGAGCCTTGACTCCGTCTAAAACTGTCCTAGAACATAATACATCCAATGATATTGTCCAGACGTCTATAGCCTTGCTCTCTGATAAGAACAAGACAGCAGGGCTTACCGACCTGCCCTAATATGTGAAAAGGTTAAATATGCTTTGATCGTTACACATTGGATACAAGGATCAAAATATCTCATGTATCTCCACACATGAACACCTATTATAGATCAATAAAAATAGCAACAGAATAGCGAAAAACACACCATAATAGCCATAGTAGCAGTGTTCTTAGAATAAATATGACTATGAACACAAAATTATGTATCTCAGTAGGGTGAATTCATGTCCATGCATCAACCCAGAGTCACACGCTCCATCAGTACCTTGCACATAGTAAGTACTCAAGTAAATACATGTGTACTTATAGATATAATTTATATTTTCCATATATGCGTATACATATAGATTTATTTTTGGAGACAAGGTCTTGCTCTGTTGCCCAGGCTGGAGTGCAGTGGTGCAATCACAGCTCACTGCAGCCTTGACCCCCTGGGCTCAGAGGATCCTCCCACCTCAGCCTCCTGAGTAGCTGGGATTACAGGCACCATCATGACCGGCTAATTTCAAAAAAAATTTTTTTTTTGTAGAGACAGGGTCTCACTATGTTGTCCAGGTTGGTCTTGAACTCCTGGTCTCAAGTGATCCTCCTGCCTTGGCCTCCCACTGGGTTTAGAGGCGTGAGCCACAGCACAGGGTCTCAAGTAAATACTTCTGAACTGAATTTTGTGTGTAAAATTGCTGGATGTCCTTTAGAACCGGAATCCAGGGTGCTTTGCTGTTACTTTAGAAACCGGGACTTCTGGAACTTGTCAACCCTGTCTCCTGAAGGCATATGGCCACACCGTGATTCCAGTGAAAAGACACGCTTTCAGGCACTCAGTGATCTTCCTGCTCCTTGTCCCCCTTCTATCTGATCCTTGGAAAGGAAACGGGACAGACAGTTTCCCAGGCAGGGTCCAGAATGGGAGGTTTAGACCAGCCTGTCTCGGTTGCTCCTGCGTCCTTGACACCCAGGGTGGTCTCTGTGGTGGGCAGGGCGGCTACAGGGGGGATGCTCGTGTCTTTGGAGTCGACACACACCTGGGCTGCCTCAGGCGACGTTACACCTGGTGGCTCCCTGGCCTTTCTGGACTCACTTGGCAGAGTGGGCATCATAAAGACAGGAGATGGCTGGCACGGTGGCTCCCGCCAGCGGTTCCAGCACTGGGGGGTTGAGGCGGGAGGCTCGACTGGGCCCAGGAGTACAAGACCAGCCTGGGCAACAGGGCAAAAACTGGTTTTTACAAAAAAAATTTTTTTTTAAAAATTAGCTGGGTGTGGTGGTGTGTGGCCTGTAGTCCCAGCTACTTGGGAGGCTGAGGTGAGAGGATCGCCTGAGCCCAGGAGATCGAGGCTGTGGTGAGCTGTGATCATGCCATGGCACTCCAGCCTGGGTGACAGAGTGAGAAAGAAAGAAAAAGAGAGAGAGAGAGAGAGAGAGAGAGAGAGAGCGCGCAAGTGAGCAAGGAAGAAAGAAAGAAAGGAGAGAGAGAGAAAGAAAAGACGGAAGCAGGAAGGGAGGGAAGGAAGAGAGAAGGAAAGAAAGGAAGGAAGGAGGAAGGAAGGAAAGAGGACAGAGAGAGAAAGAAAGAAAGAAGGAAGAAAGGAAAGAAATTCGCAGTATGGATGCTTATGGGAAACTCTTTCCTAGTTAAATTGTTCCCCGTGTTTCCAAAAAACACCCGGGGGTGGGGGGAGGGCGGGAGACCGAGCCCCCGACTCACCAGTAGTCGTCGCCAGCCATGCACTTCTCGTACACGGGGCCGTCCAGCTCTTTGGCGTCCGGGAAGATGGTCTCGTGGTGGACGATGATGGTCTTGACGATCTCGTTCACATGAGCCTGGCAGGACACCTGGTCCTGTACCTCTGGGACAGGCATCAGCGTGGGGCCAAAGCAAATGGCCAGGTTGTAGGGGTCCATCATGTTCTCATCGCTGTACTGGGAGAGACTGGGCGGGAGGCGGGCGGGGCCACGAGAGAACGAGAGAGGGGAAGAGAGTGGTGTCACCAGGCGTGCCATGTCCTGGAAGCAGAGTCCCGGATGCTCCATTGGGCCTCTGTTCCTGGGTTAAAATGGCGCCCCACCCCACCGGAGGGTAAAAGTAAGAAAGGGAAGGGAACTCAAAAGACCTACAACCCTCAGCTGGGTGGACACTGAGGGGGACTGTGCATCCTACCGGCTTCACTGAGTGGCGTTTCATTAAGTCATGAGGAAGTTCAACACAACGCCAATCTCAGAGGAGGCCAGCATCGAAGGAGATGAGTTTTATTTGTCAATATTTTCTCTGAAGAACAACTTTTTTTTGAGTCAGGGTCTCACTCTGTCACCCAGGCCGGAGGGCAGTGGTGTGATCATGGCTCACGGCAGCCTCGACCTCCCGGGCACAGGCAATCCTCTGGCCTCAGCCTCCTGAGTAGCTGGGACGACAGGCACGTGGCACCATATTTGTAAATATTAAGGTCCAGCTCTAAGCTCCACTCATATAAGCCTGGGCGAGATGGTGACGATTTCCATAAGGCTTTGTCTTTAGAATTATCCTCCCACCACCCAAAAATCTCCCCGAGTTTAGTTTTCTTCTATAAATCTTGAGAAAAGCCCAGAGGAAAACAAAGCATCTTTTCTCTGTAACGGTCGAAAGGAAGCAAATAACGACTCTGGGTTTTATAATCTGCTCCTGAGTGAGACTGTGAACACCAGGCGACCACCAGTGTGATGAAAACATCGCAGGTTCATGGGAGGGGAAGGGGCCTCACTTCTCTGATCCCACCCAGGGCTGGCCAACTGGGGGGAGATTTCCAGGCGTCGAGGACTCATGGCTAAATCCAGTCCAGTGGCTGTTGGTGAAATATTTTCTCAGGTGACTCCGGTCACCCAGCTCTTTATGGCGATGCCTCCAGCACCCAACGGGCAAGATGCTGCTTTAGGGAGAGTTCCCAGCCATTATCTTTCAGGGTATAGTATGTCAGTCTTGAAAGGAAATGTAAAATCCAGGTGAATAGATGGCAGGTGGGAGGCGGGAAAGGAGACTCAGCTACCTTTGTGAGATGGTGGCAGACGCAAAGAAACTGAGCTGCCTTGTGACATGACACTTCACCCTTGTTTCGGAAATAAGATAGTCTAAAAAGCAGAAAACACAAAAGCATAATTTCCTCAGCTAACATATGTCTTTTCCTTCTGCCACTTTTCAAACATATGATCTTGGGGGGAAAAGAAGTTCACGATAATAGAGAATGATCACGTTACAGATTATCTTGAAAATGGAGATTCAGAACAGGAACGATCTAATTTTCAAAATAGTCATTTTAGCTCAGTGGGGAGTGTCACATGCCATGTTGAGTCCTTAAAGTAGTACTGGCTTAAAAAGCAAAAACTTGATATGAAAATGTGCTTTTCTTTTTTCTTTGAGACAGGGCCTTGCTCTGTCACCCAGGCTGGAGTGCAGTGGTGTGATCACAGTTCACTGCAGCCTCTGCCTCCTGGGCTCAAGCCATCTTCCAGTCTCAGCCTCCTGAGTAGCTGGGATTACAGGCACGTGCCGCCATACCTTGTTCATTTTCTTCTTCTTTTCTTTTTTTTTTTGAAAGACGGGTTCTTGCTATGTTTCTCAGGCTGGTCTCTCAAACTCTTGGACTCAAATGATCCTCCTGCCTTGGCCTTCCAAAGTGCTAGCATTATAGGTGTGGGTCACTGACCCAGTCCAAAAACATTATTTCCAAGTTTTGATTTTACAATACAAAATACGAATCTTTCTTATCAAAATGCCCATCCCAAGCATCCTGCCCTAGAGTCTGGCCCCTTGCGTCTGCATGGAGGCAGAGGCAGGCAGCCAGGGGCATCCTTGGGCAGACCCACTGGAAGTGGTACTGCTGTCCGGCCCATGGGGCAGGGTCCATTCTGCTGAGAAGCGTGATGAGTTAGGTTCGGTTTCAAGAACTTTCCTAATCAACAGACTGTTCTGTCATCCATTATGGTTTCCTGGTTCACAGTGGGCTCTGCTTGGGCATGCCAGGAAGATTTGGAAGGACCAGCACGGAGGGTCAAGAGGAACACAAGGCTCTCCCTGCTGCGGGGCCAGACAGGCCAGCCTCGGGGCTCTACCACTGCCTGGGCGAGCCTGCTTATTGAAAGGTTAAAAACATACATCGTCTCACCTAACATCGTTTAGACCCACCCCTCTGGAGACGCATGGCAGTCTCTGAACCAATGGGTTCCCACTGTCATCTGCAGGCACCGCCAGGTCCGCCGTGGAGTCCCATTCTGTGGGGGGACTGCCTGCCCTTCCCTGTGGAATAACACTTGGCTCTTGGGGTCAACCCGAGTGGGTATGACTTCAGGACTGTCGCTGGTATACGTCTTCATGGCTTTCGAGAACTCTAAGCGTCCCAAGCAACAGAGAAGAGGAAATACCCTAATTTTGGGAAGGGAAATCCCATGCTGGAATGAGCAGTTTTCTTCACTAAGGTCACTCCTCCTGGCATTCCAGTATTTCCACCTGTTTGAATGAAATGTTGGCCAGCAAGAGGGCTCTTGGTTGGCACTTGGGGAAGATGTTCTCACAGATGCCAGGAAGTAACCTAACATTGCCTAAACTAAAAGAGCAAATCTCCCTGAAAATAATGTTGAGATTTTTTAAGACTTCTGTCACATTGTTTAAGAAGACATTTTAGAAGTAGTTTTTCTTGATGAGCCCTCACGACTGAAATTGTGGAAATTCTGTTTGGATCCGTGAATATATCTCGAGAAATTCCTCCGTCCCTGGCTGCAACATTCAAAATTGGACATTGTCCGTAATGAGCAGCTGGTTGACATCATTTTGATGAAAACCTCCATGTCACTGGCTTTGGAGGGAAGCTGGGAAAACCCACATTTCACTGACAAGTGCCACTGTCAGTGGCATTTGGAAATTTCTGCATTTACAGCCACAGTGTGAGCCGCTGGGGTAGCCTTCACGATCACACGATGACCTTGGTCTGCTGAGGCAAAATGTACCTTCGGCCTGTATTCCATCATTTGATCTTCGACCCTGCTGATACATGGAGCCCAATGGACATGTCCCAGGATCCAGGAATAGAGAATTGAGATGGGCACTCTGGCGGGTGCCGGGTACTCACTGGTTGAGGAAGGCAAAAAGGTACCGCATCACGACAAGGACCGAGCGGGGCAAGGTCAGGAGCAGTTTCCGGATGTGAAGCGCCCTCTCATAGAGATTATCTATTCCTATAGGCAGAAAAGGACAGGGTCAGGGCCTTGAGCTCACCACATTGAAAGCAGAACACTGCAGCACACGCCTGACAGGTACACACTGGGGCACAGGTAACCCCCTCATCTCTGGGCGAGATGCAGTCGTAAGCAATAGGGTGCACAAGCGATCAGGTTGGCAGTTCTGCCCCTGCTGAGGGCATCTCCCTGACCCCCACTGCTTTCTCTGATTCTTCTTTTCAAAATTCATTCACTCATTCATTCATTCATCATGGTAGAGATGGCGTCTTACTCTTTCACCCAGGCTGCAGTACAGTGGTTCACTGCAGCCTAGACTTCCTGAACTGTCAAGAGATCCTCCCATGTTAGCCTCCCAAGTAGATGGGACTACAGGTTTGCACCAACACACTCAGCTAATTAAAAAAAACTTTTTTGGGGGTTGAGACGGGGGTCTTGCTATGTGGCCCAGGTTGGTCTCAGACTCTGGGCTCAGACAGTGTCCCTGCCTTGGCCTCCCAAAGTGTTGGGATTACAGGCATGAGACATTGTGCCCAGACTTCTCTGATTTTCATGGTCTCAGCTTGGAGTAGTTTAGAGTTTTCTAGATTTAAGAATCATTTTTCCCTTGCTGCCAATTCTAAATTTTGCATCTGACACGGTTTCAGCTTCTTTTTGCTGCATGTTAACATGAGTTGCTTTCTGGGACATGGCACCCTTCCACCAATCACTGTGCATAATTCATCAGATGCTTGTCTATTACTATGATCCAGGCAATATACCAGGTTTTGAATCTCTCCTTTCTCAAAACCACCATAGCATTTTATTTGTGTGACTTTTTGCCTTGTATTATATTAATATCCTATCTCATCAATTTTTAAAGCAAATATGTTGGGAATGCCTACCAGGCTTCAGGCACTAAGTGAAGCATTAGGAAGATGTCAGTGATACAATTCTTGTCCTCATGCAACACACACCCTGGTGTCTACTATTACTTACTTCCTGGTCCCGTCTTCCCCGTGGGGTGGGGAGCACCCTGGCGGGAAAGCACCTGGGACTTCCTAGTATTATTTTACCTCTTTACTCGGAATATGAACTGTCCACAACACCTTAGCACCAAAGTGCTTGTCAACAGCAACAGAAAGGTTACTTGTAATAGTCTATTATTTGCACCACTATCTACATATGTTACAACACACTTTCACATTCGCTCTCTGACTTCATGGGAATGACAGGCTATGGAGTGGGTGGGGCACACACTGTCATTCTATTTCACAGATCAGGAAAGTGAGGACTAGCCAGTGATTCACCCAAGCCAGCTGGTGGTTAGACGGCGCGGAGCCGGAACTAGAACCTGTGTTTTCTGTTTCCTAACTCTGGTTGGCTTTCCTGGATCTCAAAGCACCTTTACAACTTTGAAGATATCCAATACGTATATTTGAGAAAATATTTTTAAAAAATCTGTCTGAAAGTGTTTTTGATGCTTCTTACAATTTCCCATCACTACATTTGCTCTTGATTGCTCTTGAGACATCCATGTGTTCTAATTGAAAATGCTCTGTCCCCAGCTTCTGAAACCATAGTCAGTAGATTGACCTTATTGTGACTATTATTTTTGACTTTCTTCCATTCACAGATGTGGATACCCCTCAGAGGTTTCCACCTGGTTCTCTTCAATGACAGCCTCATCTGGTCTCAAGGTTACGAATGTCAATGTCTTATAAGAGATGGTATCTTCACTTTATTTTTTCCCTTGGACAGGAGCAAAGTCCCATGGTTTTTACCTCTGGGCATCTCACTGTTAATTTCCTAACAGAAGTCTTTACTATTTCTAAACGGGGCCATCAAAATCCTCTCCTAACTCAGTTTCCTTTTCCATTTTCGGTGAAGTCAACTTGGACTTGGATTCACGTGGGAGATTAGAAATGCTGCCTTACTGACTCATGCTAGGCTCCTGTCCCGGAATCCCAAGGGCTGACCCCAGCTGCCTTCTACTTATTATCGAGCTGGGCATTTTATTTTCCCGTCTGCACAGCTGAAAAGGCATGAACAATGATTAGGGATATTCTTGCTCAACTGCAAATGAGTTTGCAAAACAAGCAACAATTGATCAGGGTTCGTGGGAGGAAAAAACACCTCTACCTCCCTTCTGGATGTCAGAGCTGGGCCCGAAGGTCTGCCATCACAGGGAAAATGCAAGTTCAGAAACTCATCAAGCACCATGCAAGTAACACATTTTCATGCAATTGACACTCCTGTAACATTTTTATTCTTTCAGAGCAAACCTATAAATAATCATCGTGTGATCCTAGCAATATTGAACTGGATACATTGAATGTTGCCTTTTTATTTGTAAAGTATATCAAAATGGAAGAAAATATGACACTATGAACGAGGCAGGTCAGGGTCATATCTACTGAGTAAAAAACACTTTGCTTAGTATCCTTTCCAGGCAACAGTCTTGATTGTTTTTGTTTTGGTTTTTTTTTCCTGAAAAGGAGTAAGACACCTTAAAAAAAAAGTTACTCAACAGGTGCATAAATTCACTCAGGTCACAGAACTCAATAATTAAATTATTAATATTTCTGCCTGATTCAGCCCCAGAGTTCCAGTAAGACCAGAACATGTCCGAGAAGGCTGTTCATCTCCCACGACAGCTTCATGTGACGCCAGGGAGCTCACATCCCCCAGCCCCAAGTCATTCACACGTCATCGAGAACTTAACGGGGGAATTCTGTACCTACATGTATTATACATGCAGACACAGGTGGATTATCTCATATCAGAAATCAATCAGTGAAACGTGTATTACCTGAAAAAGCTAAATTTTTTTTTAAACAGAAAAGTATGATGTACTGCTGTTTGAAGTTAGAGTGAAAAGATGACTTAGCATACCTGTATCTAATAAGTCTATCTCTAAAAAGAAAAAGAAACCCTCCCAGGTGAAATTACACATGTGATGGTCCATTCTCATTGAGGATCGCAGGTGTTTTAAGAGTTAAGCGACCTTATTCTCCAAGCGAATCCTCATGTTCACATCAAGGTCAACTACCAGGGACAGGATTTCAGCAGCTTACAGCTAGTTTTAGAATCTGAAAGTTAAAAACAAATGAAAAGGCAGGGATGTGATAGGAACCACTCTTACTAGACGGTGGATCTTGGACATTTGTCACATCCCAGAGATGGCGAGTAGGTCTGGAGGCTGACAGCGGCTCACTCCTAATTCAAGATCCCCTTGTTTCTGTCGGCTCTAAGTGTAGCTCCTCGGCCTCTTAGTGGCAGTTTCAAAATTTTATTTAAAAAGAATTGGGGGAGCAGATGTAAGAGGGACCCCCCCAAAATAAAATTTATTTATAAAAAATGTGTATTTATTCTTACATGTTTAAACTTCAGTCCCCTACAAAGTACTCTTTGTTGAATGCAATACACCTATCCAGATGCTTTTCTACTGCTCAAAACAGTTTTTGAACTCATCCACTCTGATGCCTTTTAGTGCTTCTGCTGTTTTTTGTTTTACTTCTTCCCCATTGGCCAAATGTTTACCATTGAGGACTTTTTTCATACAGGGAAACAAAAAAGTGCTCAGGGTGAGACTGAGGGAATATGAAGGGTGGGGCACGGGGGTCATGTAATTTTTGGTTGAAAACTGCTGAACACTCAGTGCGGTGTGGGCAGGTGTCCTCGTAAATCACCTCTCATGAAATGGACAAACACGTTGAAAGAATCTCCAAAAATTCACTGAAGCTGAAAGCAGCCTCTCCCAACAATGCCAGCTGGCTCATGGATGCCACTGGGTTCCTAGAACACTCACCTAGCAGGGAAGCCTAGCTACGAGGGGCCCACTGTCCAGAAGATAATTCTGGTTTTTTGCCCCCCCCCATATTTATACACTAATTCCACAGCATCATTATTCATAACAGCCAAAAGGCAGAAACAACCCACATGTTCACTGACAGAGGAACGGATTAACACAGTGTGGTCTACACACACCACGGAGGACTACTCAGCCTTGCAAAGGAAGGAGATTCCGACCCATGCCGTACCACGGATGAACTGGAAGATGTCCTGCTCAGTGAAATGAGCCGGACTCAGAAGGACTCCATTATGTGAGTTCCCTAGAACAGGCAAAGTCAGAGATGGGACGAGGACGGGGGACAGGGAAATTCGCTGTTCGCAGGCAGGGTTTCTATTTGGGAGGTCGAAGACATTCTGGAAATGGGTGGCGGTGACAGGTGCACCAGCCTGTGAACGCAAGGAATGCCCTAAACTGCATGCTGAAAAATGGCTACGAGGGTCAATACTATGGCACGTGTATTTTACCACCATGACAAAAGATAATCAGGGGGCCTAGAGGTGCACATGGAGAGGAAAGCATGAGAATATGAAAGAGGGACATTAAAATACCAGGTAAGGTGGCAGCAGACAGGTGTCCACCCTCCACAGCCACAGCCAGCTTGGTCGGAGCACAGCGGCCACGACAGGCCTGTCCCACCTGGCCAGCTGCAGCCTGCTTCCTCCAGAAGCTTCGCTTCGGCACACGTCGCTCACCAGTTGCCCAAGTGCAGTCAGAGGGTCGCAGCACGTGGCTGCCACAGCCACTCTGATGATCTCGGGTGTCCCTGGCTGGCTCTGCGTGGGGCAACCCCTGGGCTCACAACTTCACGCTGATGAAAAGATAGCCTTTCCTTCCCCTCGGAAAAATTTTCAGGAGCTAGGCGTGGTGGCTCATGCCTGTAATCCCAGCACTTTGGGAGGCTGAGGTGTGAGGATCACTTAGAGCCCAGGAGTTCAAGACCAGCCTGGGCAACAGAGCCAGACCTCAACTCTACAAAAAAATTAAAAAATTAGCCAGCCGTGGTCCCAGCTACTCAGTCCCAGCCGTGGTCCCAGCTATTTGGTCCCAGCTACTTGGGAGGCTGAGGTGAGAGGATTGCCTAAATCCAGGAGGTTGAGGCTGTGGTGAGCCATGACCACACCACTGCACTCCAGCCGGGGTGACAGAGTGAGACCCTGACTCAAAA